GCTCAGTGGACGGCCTTTTAACATGGCCCAGGACCGATCTGTGTCCAAACTGCTGCTATCCACACAGAACGGTAACCTCAGTGTGATGTAAGAAAGGATGGACTAGAACGCGGCTCACCTTAGCAAAGTCTCTGTGGGCTCCCTGTTATATGCTTGATAAAGTGTGATAGCTCAATGATGGGATTGATCATGCTTAGAACAACCATTGTAAGGTCACGACAGGACATTATTGTGGTCATTGTGAATCTTTAACATGGGGACAACTGTTGTGGCTAGGTTGTTGAGAAATTGAAGCAGGATTTGGAGCAGATGGCTCCAACCCCATCAGGCCATCAGCTTTGTGGTAGTGTGGCATGATCTGTAGGTGTGTGGCTGCATTCTGATGCAGTCCGACAGTTATGCCAGGACGAGATGTGGTAGTGTCTTGCTGGTATGTTTACATCCTTAAATACTACGGTTCACTTCTGATCCAATCCCACATTTGTAATGGGACCACTGAGTCATAAAACCCCCTTTATTCTAACAAAAGAACTTCCAATAAATGCTAAAGTTTCCAGGCTCATTTACGCGGTCCCTGGTTAAAGTGACAGACGGTTTAGTGTGGTGTCACACCGCCTCAACAAGAAATAAATAAACAAAGAGGGTGCTAAGTCAGAGACGGCATATACAAAGATGAATGACTCTCAATTAGAGTGGTCCCAGTGGTAGGGCTAATGCCGTAATGATTCATCCATGGTGCGCCGCAGCCTTTGTTGATCAACTTGATATATGTTAATCCAAAGATCGAGCATGAGCAGAATCCAAAACAAAGGACTCGGGAAAGCGGGATTAACGAGGAAAACGTAAAGAAACAGGCGCAGCGTTAATACCAAGACAGGGTCACCCAGCAAACAGCCACAGAAATGGATTAAAGGGGACATTAATCACCAGCTTTATGTTTTCATCTGTGTCAAGGACAGCCGTTTGTGATGCAGAGAGGAAATCCTCTTTGTTTGATATGTGTGGATAATGAATGTAATGCTGTGAGCGAACGTTCCTGAAATCTTGAATTGGAAGCAAACACAAAATCTGGAAAATACTCTTCAGAATTATGAATTTAAAGGTTGTAAAATTCATGCATTAAAAGGTGCTCTCTGATGTTGAAGGTAAGTTTTCAACAACAAAGGATTTGCCAGAAATTTCCTCAAAACATTTCGTCATGGCTAGATTCCACATTCACAGTCTGAGGTACATTTCTGCTAATTCTGTCAAGTCCTCAACCACTCTTGGAGGCAGTGTGAGCCCTGGATGCACACTTTCCATCAGTCTGAGATTCAGCAGACTTCGCTTGAGGGAATTACCCACAGTTCATAGTCCCATGACAAATACAGCCCACAGGCATTAAAGGAAAAAGAAAGAACAAAATGGAAAAGAGCACATTTGTAGAAGGATTTAAATGACAAATTCACAGGAAAAACTGAATTGGCCACATAAATGTAATTGTACTGAACAAAAAACTGCTCTCTTTGGATGTTACTTGTGTTCTGATAACTGCTCCTTCCAGGCTGGTGTTGATTCCTGCAGCTGTTCAACCTTTTCAGTGGTAGAGCGTCGGGTCATACCAAAGACTTTAAAAATGAGACCCAATGTCTTCCTGCTTAGCACTCAGCTTTAACAGGTTGGATTGGGGGGTTAAACTGTCATGGTCTGTGTCTGCCCCTTCCTTCATGTGCCTCCTGGTGTTTCTCCATCCTCTCTAGGTTCCCTTCTGTGTCCTAGCGCCCTCATGTGTCATGTCTGCATCTTCTTCATGTGTCTTCTGGTTTTCCCCATTTGCCCCTAGATCTCCAGCCCTCTAGGTTTCTCAAGTCATTTCCTTTAGTTACAGCCTTGCTGCAGCTCACCCATCCCCACAGGGATCGGTCAAATGGTACTTAAACATTTTAAACATCTGTACAAACCACATGTCAAATACAAAATACCAAATAAAACTATAAACAATGTGTAAAGGGACAAACTTCAACATAGGTTGAAGTAAACCATTGTTCCTAATTCTCATCAAACCACTTCTGAGCATAAATCATCCAGATGGAGTATCAGGATTAGTACATTCATTGTAAATCTGCCATTTCCAGGCCTATACGTGTCTACTGCCCTCTAGTGGAGGATCTACAGGTGGAAAGAGCCAATTTTATTTATTTGTTTCTATTATAATGTCATATAACGAATATATATAGTTGTTATTTTAAAACTAAACAATAAAAAATTCTATTTTGAAAACTGGGTTTCATTTGCTATTATAGAATTAAGGCATCAAAGCTGATGATTACATGAAGCTGGTTACTGCTACACTGCACTGATAGTGGGTTTTCTTTACAGAGAACATATTACCACCACACGTTTTTATACATACGTGTTCTTTATTTATGTTAGTTTATACTGTTTTGCAGAAAAATATCAATGATCTAGGAATACATATCGTAAAGTATGTGCATTCAACCATTGTGTGGCGAATGCTCAGCATTCATCTGCTTAGCAACAGTGAAACAGATTTTCACATGCTGTCATGAGGTAACGAAACATGATTGTAGTGAATTTTGATGCTTTAATTATAGAATAACTTGTCTTTACCGAGAGTTACAGACAGAACTTGATACCTCAACTGAGAGTGAATCTTTATACAAAGCTGTTTAAATGTTCAGCTGACATTTTGAAGAGACAAGCCCCCAATTTAAAACGTGTCAAGTGTGAGGATGAAAAATTATCCTTTGAAACTGAGTGAAAATAAGCTCCTGAGCTTTAACATCACAATTGGAAACACATTCAAAAGGTGTGAACACAGCTTCACGGTGCAGCGTATTCTGTTACGGCATGATAACAAAAGCACAGAGAAAACACATGTTCACACCCAGTGTGTTGGATTGGAGACCCACCAATACATTTCTAACTTCTACTCATTAAAAAAAATCACATAATAAGCAAACATATCACCCTGATTCTGAAATGGAATCGGTCTGGCCAATACATTAAAGTGTGTATTTTCCCTGGCGACAGGGGGCAGCGTGTCCAAATAAGACCTTACCAATGGATGGCTATTAGGGTCAAAAAACCCTGGGATTACAATCTCCAGCCAAATGGCAAGCACATCAGACTCCCTTTCATCACTGGCAGTGAGTGAAGAAGTAAATGTGTAAAACAACAATGTTTATTATTGGTGAAAGTTTTGTAATCATCTGTTACAAATCAGTAAACGTGTTTTGTCCTCACGGGCTTCTGTAGAGGAAACATGGCATCCAATATGGCGTTGCCAAGATACGTAGACCCACTTCCATGTATTTTAGAACAGATTTTTATGACTATATGTTTTGAAAGTGCCAATATTTTTCAACTGCTGGGCATCTTTTAATTCTTTTACAATAACATTTCAATGGATATTTCCAAACTACAAATTGTCACTTTAACACATTCACTGCCAGCCGTTTCTTGATCAGAAAAGCCCTTCACTGCCAGCGTTTTTCAGCGTTTTTACAGTTTTTTTTCTGAGTCACAGAACGTTGCGCTCTATGATGGTCAATGCCAAAACTAACAAAACAAAGGGGAAACTCATGTCTTACATCAAGAAGAATCTGCGTGTTTCGAGCGTTATCCGTTCTTTCATATTCTGTTGTCGAATTGTGATCAGCAGAAGCTTTTCCGGTTGACACCTCACTTTTTTGACAGCGCCGGCCCAAAAATATCTCCTAACACATGGATTTTCTGCTTCCTGATTGCATGCCATGTGACGCACGTGGATGAAGATCGGCTTTAGAGCTGGGATGTTTGTTCTCACGGTACCGGGGCTCGTTCTGACGCCCACACAGTAAAAAAATGCAAAGGCAGTGAACGGTTGGATTTAAAATGACGTCTTTTGTCATCAATGGCAGTCACTGAGTTAAAGTTGTGTAAGATTACAACAACAAACTAATTAACTGATCAAAATGTGTCACAATAATTGAGGTCCAAGATTCTCTAAAAAATATGAAAAAGTTCACAACAGAGGGACAATTTGAGTCATTTAACAATTATATCAGAAATATTATGAAATATGACACAAATACCTAGAGAATACTGGAATTTTTATCCAAGCCAAAAAATAAAAATGGAAAAAAATCCCTGCTTAATGGTAATGTGTTGGCTAATTAGTGGCCATCCTTCAAAAAAGACAAAAAATTATATTTAATCGAGTTTAGTAACACATTTTTAATAAAGTGTCAGTAAAAAAAATTCACTGCAAGCTCTTTTGGTAAAAAATATTAAATTAAAAATAATAAAGAGGTGGTACGAACGAGGAACAAAGTGAACATCCAGTGAAGTGAGTGTTCAGTGGATTGCGGAGGAGGGGGTTTTCCGGACAAACGAGGAAGAGGACGATGACTGCAACCTGTTGGTCTATCTGTCATTCATCCATACTCTGGATATTCCCAGTACTACCTGGAAGTTGAGTGCTCCAACATTTATCTTTGTTGTTTTCCTCTCATCCAACAAAGATGTTATCGTGAGCTAACTAGCATTAGCAGTATGGTTCAGGCAAGTGCTAGCACTAGCTTGGGTCAGCGTTAGCGGAACCGCAATCCACATGTATGTATCGCTGGCATTGAAGTGGGTTGGAACATGCAAATTTAAAGTGAAATATAAGACGTGGTATCTACGCTTTTGCTGTGTTTAACTAGCTATTCTCAGAATTAAGCGTTTGAAAGCAGCCATTACAACATTACCAATGTACATAGGAAACACGTTGCTGGTATGTTATATCAGAGGTAAATGTGGTTTTATATTCTACATGTCTGTACCATGCAACAATTATTTGAGAAACTATGTATGTGCTCTGTATATATTCATTTTTGACAAAAATAAAATTACATGCACTCAACAACCAGAAAGAAAGAAAACTATCTTTCATTTAGCGCCTCTAAAGATACAAATCACAATGTGCTTAAATCAGGGTTTCAGCTACATGAATGTCAGCTGTTTGAGAATCTTACCTTAGCTCTGAGTCATCACTGTGAATCGTGACAGTTTGGGGAACAGTAAAGGGATTTTTCAGGACAAACTCCATGTATTCAGCAGAGCCCAAGCTGGCGTAGAGGAGGTGCTGGGTGGTGATGGCCAGGCTCAGCATGCTGGCAATCCCCTCTGCCTTTTTGTATTCTTCATTGGGTTTGACTTCACTGGTGAACCGGACCTCCTCTGCATGACCCTAACACCAACAAACAGGCGATAAACGTTAAGAGAGGCTAAATGTCAGACACTCCACATCCTGTACAGAGGCAGATCATAACTAAAATCTCAGAGCTCACTTTCAGAGCTGAATGTTCGGTTAATGAGTTTGTAGAATGAAATGTCATCATAACTGATGGAAACAATAACTAAAGCGGAGACAGTGAAAGTCAGTTCGCAGTAAATCACAATTTTCTCCGTGACCTTTTTAGTGACTATTTCACAGCATATATTAACACATGACTGCCTCCCATCTGATTGCTCACTTTAAATGGAAAATGGCATTGTTTGAATGATTGTTTTGTAAGCAGCCAGGCTCTTTTTGCTACACGTTTTTCATTTCAGTCAAGTGTTGTGATCAAGAAAATGACCTTTTCAAAAACCTTTTAGACAAACATTTTCCCCAGCAAAGTTAAATGGAATTTAAAGTTTCAGTCAACTCGGCTACACTAAACAGCGTTTTTAGCCCCACTGACTTGCATTAATTTTTTCGTTCTTCCGGTGACCCACGGTCCAGAAGTAGATGGGAGTGACATAGGCTCCCTATGGAATTCGGTCAGTGTCTTCAAAAGTACTGAATTCGGTACCCATCCCTAGTCACGTCTGAACTCCTTTGCTACCTGTCCTGAGCTGTGGTAATGCACAAATTTCCCCACTGTAGGATCAATAAAGTCTTATCTTATACACAGTAGTTTGATAAGTAGTTAAATTCAATTCAATTCAATTCAATTTATATAGCGCCAAATCACAAGCGTCATCTCAAGGCACTTCACATAATAAACATTCCAATACAGGTCAGTTCATTAAGCCAATCAGAGAAAAGTTTCCTGTATAAGGAACTCATAAAATTGCATAAAGTCACTGACTGGTGTCAGTTATTTTACAGCAATCCTCATACTAAGCAAGCATTTAGCAACAGTGGAGAGGAAAACTCCCTTTTAACAGGAAGAAACCTCCAGAGGATCCTGGGTCAGTATAAGCAGCCATCCTCCACGACTCACTGGGGATCGAGAAGACAGAGCACACACACACACCAACATCCCCCCCCCCCCCACACACACACACACACACACGCACACACACATAACATATATACCAAGTAGCGTTGCCATGGTTACATTGTGATTTCTTAGTAAATATTCTATTTGGTGAGAGATAAACTTTATTGTATTTATCCTAGTGAATCTATAATTAAACGGGTAAACTAGTAGTAGCACATTCAATGTCAAGGAAAGTAAAATGTTATTATCAGGAGAGGGAGAATGTTTAAGTGGTTAGCAACAGTGTGCTAGAAGATGGCCCCCTCCATGAGGCCACCACAGCTCAGCAGAACATCATTGTAGCTTCTTCTGGGGAGAAAAACACTTAGAGAAAAAATAAAGTTAACAGTTGAAATTGCAGGAAATAATACAGTTAAAGAGCAGATTGTAGAAGAAAGTAGTCGAGTGTGAAAAGTGGTCAGTATGTCCTCCAGCAGTCTAAGCCTATAGCAGCATAACTACATAGATAACTCTGGATAATCTATCCTATTTAGATGGAGGCATGTTGGAGGCAGGGCAAGGGAGAGCCATCTTTACATACTGTACACTCCACCTCCCTTTACTCCCCCACTTGTCCAGATTTAGGCTAACATCAGACCATAGGCCCTATCAAATAAAAATGTTTTATGCCTAGTCTTAAAAGTAGACAAGGTGTCTGCCTCACGGACTAAAGCTGGGAGCTGGTTCCACAAAAGAGGAGCCTGATAACTAAAAGATCTGCTTCCTATCCTATTTTTAGAAATTCTGAGAACTCCAGTAAACCTGCAATCTGAGAGTGAAGTGCTCGGTTAGGAACATATGGAACAATCAGATCACTGATGTATGATGGAGGAAGAGCTTTATATGTGAGAAGCAGGATCTTAAAATCTATTCTGAATTTAACAGGCAGCCAGTGTAGGGAAGCTAAGACAGGAGAGATATGACCTCTCTTTTTAATTCTCATCAGAACTCTAGCTGCAGCATTTTGGACAAGCTGAAGACTTTTAACTACATTCTGTGGACTTCCTGAGAGTAATAAATTACAGTAATCCAGTCTTGATGTAATAAATGCATGTGCTAGTTTTTCAGCATTTCTCCTGGAAATGATGCTTCTAATCTTAGCAATATTCCAAAGGTGGAAAAAGGAAATCCTACAAACCTGTTTAACGTGGGATTTGAATGACATGCCCTGGTTGAAGATAACACCAAGGTTCCTTACTTTGTTCTCGGAGACTAATTTAATGCCATTCAGGTCAGGTGATTGACTAAGCAATTTCCTTTTCTGAATTTCAGGTCCAAAGATGAGAACTTCAGTCTTGTCTTGATTTAAAAGCAAAAAGTTTTGAGTCATCCAATTTTTTATGTCTTAAAGACAAGCCTGTAATCCATTACATACATTTTTATATCTGGTGTTAGCACTATTGGGTGTTTTTCGGTAGGGAACACATACTACAATTATTACGGTAATATGCCTCTGGTATTAGAGGAAGTGTGGTTATTTGCTGACTTGCTTTTAGCTAGAAACTAGTTCTGAATGACTTGTTAAAGGAAGTAAAAAGCCACGATTGACTCATGATTCACTTCACTGTAACATCAAGCTGTTGGTAATTGAAAAGGTAGCTTGAGATGTTTTTAGAGCCGAGTACTGGCTTCTAATTCTTAGGGGTACAAGAAATAACTTCTGGGTCGCTCTGACATACTGGCTTCAGTTCTTTAACTCTGGAGCTTGTTACCTGCTGGTGTTGAATCACAAAAACTGGCTATGCAAAGTTAACTCTGCAACCTCACAGGCTCACTAACGGTAAACAGTAACTACGTCCCTCTTTAGTTTTTTTTTTTTGAATAAATAAATAAATCTGTTTCCATGTAACCTTCCTTCCAACATGATTAAAACATTACAGTGTTTTGAGATTATTTCACTGTAGAATTCTCAGAAATTGCTCCTTTAAATGTAATTTAAAATGTGAGAGCAGAAAGTCGAGTGTATAAGAAAATTCTACTCAGATTATCCACACAGCTAGAGCCAGTGAAACCGCTGAGCATGAGACTGTTTCAAATAAAGTTGTGGTTATCAATCAGTAAAAATAAAAGCCAAATTGATTTTTAGAGCTAGTGTAACGACCTTGTTTCTGCGTGAGCAGCTTTATCCCACACAGAATTGGCCGTCACAGAGCTGTGAAATGACTAAAACACGGGTCTTCCCAGAAGAAACGTTTGGTGTAAAATGTTAAAGGCACACCTGCACTGCTGCCAAAATGACATTTAACACGTGACCCAAAGGTGAGAGGAAAGTTCTTCTAGGAAGAGGAATTATTCATTTCTCTTTGTGCGGCGCAAACACCTGCAGGGTTTTGGGAGTTGTAATAACGGTGGGTTTTGTAGAAAATGTTTGAGAGTTAAACTCAATTTATGATCTCAGATTTCTGCTGCTGTAAAACAGTAAGTATTTATCCATTTTAGACAGCAAAACAGCTAAAAATTGTCAAAATATAAGTTTGACACAAGCATATTTGTGTTTTTAGATCATAGTTTGACCTCACCAAAGATTCAGCTGCTTCAGAATTTTCCTTGGCCTCTCGTCGACGCACGGCAGCCATGCACTCCAGCTTCCGGCGCTGCGAGTTTAGGTTTAGCTCTTCAGGGATGACAGCATCCGCTCTGATCCTGTCTCTGTACAACCGCATGTGATCTTCATCCATCTTCAGCCTGTGTACTTGTGCGGTGTTGCCGGCTGTGAAATAGACCGAGGCCACCATGAAGAATTTATTCCCTAAGCAGAAAAAAAACTCTAGTCTTAAATATTAAGTAATGTTACATAATGTACATGTAATGCACTCCGTTTGTATCTGAGTGCAGCTCAAAACTTCACTACTTTAGTTTGCAGCCATGTTTTAAAACCCACGTTTCAGCAATGGAGGGAATTAACCAGAACTTGCTGAAAGGAGCCATGAATCCAAAAATTAAATGAGGCAGGCGGAAAAAAATCAAGAAGTAGATCCATATATGGGGACAGAAAATAAAATAAAATAAAATACTAGCACACACATTTAGTAACCTTTCATACTATACATATTATTACTTAGATTAGCCATTTTTATATTTAGCTTGTTTTTACGTTACTGTATTTTTGCACAACTCTGTTGCAGTGAAGCTCGCACACAAGAATTTCACTCGCATGTACTGTACCAGTGTACCTGCACATGTGACGTGACAATAAAAGTGATTTGATTTGATTTGAGAGAGATGAGATGTAAGTGGTGTTTTATTTTAGCTCTTTAGGAACTTTACCTGCTGTGTTTGCTTTACACCAGACATCAGACCTCTGCTGATCCCTCATCAGTTTTCTACACTTCTCTGCAAACCCTTCTTGTGCTATAACCCACTTCTACGCTGTTCTACACAAAAGTTACATCTCTAAAGGTGTGTTTGCTTTCTCTTGAGGTTTTCATTTGCAGCTGATTTATTGATGCCAATCTAAGTGTGCATTTTGTTTGTTTTTGTGTCCTAAATCAATGTGACCTCACATTTCCTGTTAATGGTTTTGAGCCTTCTTCAGCTGTCAATTCTTTTTATTTTAAATCACATATGAATATAAAAACAATGTTGGAAATGTTAAAACAGATCAAGTCCCTTTGACCACCACCAGCAGGCAAGGCGGGTGGGACAATCTCTGACAGAAGAATGGGGTCAATCCTAGGACGCTACAAAAAGATGGACAAAATGACGCCACCATCTCGCTTTGTTCTAAGTACATGAGAACTATTGAAGCCTGAGACGCATACTTGATAACCTTGTCATAAGTCACAAACAACATAACACATGAAAATCAGTTTCATCAAACGCACCCATGAAAAGGCACACCTCCAATGAGGAATTTCTAATGAAATGGTCTGGAAAAGTATTCATCGTCTTTCTTTGTACGTATGTTTCTAAACGCTAAGGGGGACATAGATGATGAAAAATGGCTACTAAATGGTAATTAGGTGTCAGCTGAAGGTTCAGTAGAGAGCATCAGATGGCAAAACCATCTCTGTAATTATTAGTGACTTAAAATAATCTGACTCGATTATGACGAATGCACCACTGTGGTCACTAACCCGCCTGAGTACACGTCTCAGACTTGAGCTTATACATAAACTCTGTTGCGCTCTACCATTTCTGCTTGTCTTTCTGTTTTCCACTCCTTTGATGACTCTTTGTCCCAAGACACCCCCCCACCCCCACCCCGCAAGACTCCTTATCAAGGAGGAACTGGGTTGACTGCCAGTGAGCTAACCTGATAGTGTCTGGCTACACCACATCCTTCACAGCCACGGGCAGGCAGAAGTGGGACAGGAGTATGACACACACACACACACACACACACACACACACACACACACACACACACACACACACACACACACACACACACACACACACACCACCCAGAGCTTCTGTCGGCTGTGTCTCACGATTGTGACTGGACTCCAGTGAAAGCAATTAGACACACTGGAACTTTAAATGGCACGGCAAGGTGAAGTGGAGAGGAACGAGCGAAGAGTGTAAAAGACAAAAAGTGTGGAGGTCACGGTGGTGAGAAGTGTGTGTGTGTGTGTGTGAGTGTGTGTGTGTGAGTGTGTGTGTGTGTGGGGGGGGGGGGGTGTAGGAAACAGAGTAAACAGCGAACAGACTGTGTTTGCACAGTTAGAGGAGCTGGAAATAACTGATTGTGTAAAGTACTTGTGAGGTGAACATGTCCGTGAATTATTTTGTCAACATATTTTAAACACGTTTCTAGGAACACAGAAGCTTATCAGTGTAAACAGTGTGAAAAGCACAAATATACTTCAAGGGACACCGTTTTAGTGAGCTCGTTTACAGATTGGAAGTATTCTGTATTAAACTAAGCATTGATATGATTATTTTATGTTTGTTGTCATGTGGCGACTATGACTGTTTGTGTGTGTGTGTGTGTGTGTGTGTGTGTGTGTGTGTGTGTGTGTGTGTGTGTGTGTGTCAGCTACAGTCAACATCAGAGGTGAATTTCATAATAGCACACCAGTTGACTGATGATGGCTTGCCTAATTGAGGAAAAAATTGGTTTCCCAGTGTGTGTTTGTGTGCCTTATAGGACTAATGCTTGCATACACACACACACACACACACACACACACACACACAAAGTCAAAGAACACAAATAGGACTGTGGCTAACCACAAGAGATGCCTCTACAAGCTCAATTAGCTTGAAAATTGAGTGGTTCTGTGGTTCAGCCAAGAGAAAAATGTGAACCGTATCTGGCTGAGCTGATCACGGCAGCAGCACAGTCCACACCCAAAACGAAAGAGTCTGATTCTAAACCTTCTGTGGGACGAACTGCACTTAAACCTAGTCATATACTAACAGGTGAGGGGACAAAGCACACCAAGTAAAAGTGGTGTAATTTTTAAAGTTGCAACCTGAATCCAAACAAATTTCAGGTGAGGTGCTGATTGAAGTGCTGACCGTTGTGCTGGAAGATGTTCCTTGGAGACAAACTTCCTCCTCTGAAACCACTGATGGCTTCACGAGGTCGGATGATGTGAGAATGAGACGGCATGTCGTCCACAGCTTTTCTTTTGTCTGGCTCAGCTGGACATCCTGTGGGAGAAAAGTATTTTCTGTACTTATTGTATAAAAGATTCAGAATTTCATTATTTATTATTTCATTTTAAATGTGTTTTGCCTCATTCCTCCTTTCTGTATTGAAGGAGAAGGTTCATTAGTAGTTTATTTTAAGACATATGTGACAGATGGTTAGTTCAGTGCACAGAGTGCTGTTATATTGGATAATTTTATATTCTGTAAGAGAATTTGCTGCCACCGTAATTGTTTCTTATCATGATAATTTATTTATGTTTACTGCTTCAGACCGTTGTCAGTGCTGTTAATGATAATCATTGTAGTGTCCATTTCTGGCCTAAAAGGCCCGGCTCTGGTTTGCTCTGCTCAAAGCAAAACCAGAAGTTTCTGACACAAACCTAATCTTCAAAGATGGGTCAAGGCCGCTCATGCTTTGCCCTTACCTAAACTGTTTCTCATTTCCAGCTCAAGAGAAGAATTGAAGAAAAGGACTCTTTCTTTTAATAAATCAAAGAACTCTATTTTAATAAGCTAATCAAACAAAGATTAAGCCAATAATAAAATGTGAGCCAATCTGTGAAATGAAAATATTAATTACTTGATATTATAATCCTATAGAGCTCCGGACCCCACGTGACTCTCAGTTAGTAGACGCCATATTGGCAGGTAAAAGAAGCTAAACAAACACGGATGTAAACATGAACGTGAACGGGATCGGCTTGGATTTTACTTCGTCGGAGTTTACTTCACACTTTAAAACCGAAGAAATATATAATATATAGTCAGAAATTAAATAGACTAAACATCTCCGACATTTACCGTGCCCCTGGGATACTTTTTAACATCGCCAGAAGCTGTCGGAGCGGACTTCTTACCGGACCTGGCCGGGGAACCCCTTGGGATTTACCTGGAGGAGCTGGCTCAGGTGGCTGGGGAGAGGGGAGTCTGGGCCTCTCAACGCTACTGCCCCCGCAACCCGACTCTGGATACGCAGATGAAAATGGATGGATGGACAAATAACAGATTTACATGTAAGTAGTTTAAATAGAGTGCTGTGCTGTTTGAATGTATAAACTGAACGCCAAGAGAAATCACTAGTTTGATTGTTTTCCGTGAATAAAATAAATATGTCAGGCAGGAGCGTCTCAGGATCTGTCTGAGATCTGTCTCGGTGAGACAGATAATAGCAATCCAAAGTGCTTCTTATGTGTGATCTGACAAGTGATCATCCATTGCTTAAAATGAAATACAGCTTAGCCGGTTAATTGCTGTGATCATAAGACGGCAGCACCCAGAAATCACGAGGCAACGTTTTACGTGATGTTTATTTGTTGCTATGAGTAATAAGACAGAAAAAGCCACGCCAAAATAAGTTTAGGAAGCCCACTAAGAATCGTAATAAAAGCATTTAAAAATAAATACCACACACAGTTGAGGAAACGTTGGTTTAAGTACCTGATATGAAGCGGTCGCTGCATAAGCGAAATCCTTTACTCTCGGGATCCCACAGTTTCATTTTAGCCCGGTCAATAGTGTGTTTTATTACAATGATCCAACGTTTGCGGCGCTCCGGATCTTGGGGAATCCTGTAGATGGCTCATCCCTTATGTCGTTCGTGTCTGTTCTGCATCCTGGGGCACAACAGGAATCTACCATATTTCCCGTTTGATTGAGTTTTCTGACAATAACAAATAGTCCAGCTGCCGGCTTCTACCTGCCAAGATGGCGCAGTTTCGATTTGAACTGTTGCATGCCGGGAGAAGTGACGTCAACTCCCGGAGCTCCATAGAATATAATAAGTAATATACCTTTAAATATTACCACTAGAGACTGATCACACGTAAGGTTAAGACACATGACACATTGCTTTTACTGATCCAATCAGAATCTTCCAGATCTGACGGAGGCGTGGTTTTGGTGGTGCTTGGTAAATCTGTCCCTTTTATGATTCGACCGTAAATCAAAACATCCAAATTATAAAACTATGCCCACGTCAGCTTAAACTCCAGTTCAAAGCTTTCTAGAGAAGTTGTCGGAGTGGCCAATCCATAACTTTCCTCTTCAGCTGAAAGAACCAACGACAAGCTGGATAAAATCTATTGCTGTTCCACCTGCTGCAACGGTTCCTTTCAGAGTAAAAGCTGAATCATCACGACCCCCTTTTGGGGTCTCACTAGATGCCAATAAACTGTCGTGACCCGGAAGTATCTCAAGACTGGTCTGGTCGGCAACCGCTGCTTTTCCTACCGACTTCGGTTCCAGAGAAGGTCAAGCTGGACCTCGACATTCCTGATCTAACGGGGACTTCTGCAAAGGGTACGTAGGCCAGCAGAATGGCGTCTCACTGTGTGTTATGAATCTCCAAACCAAAAGCTTAGCGCGAAACATCATCTTCACTCCCATCAGAACTAATCGTTTCTCCAGATTTGCTGGTTCTGAACAACATTTCACACATACACCATTCTCAGTCTTACCTCACCTTAGTTACACCATATACCTAGTGTTAAAGTTAGTCTAGTTTTAATTTGTTTAGTAATAAATCTTTAAACTTTTAAAATTGACTCTATTTCTTTTGTCTCTGAGTTAATACGAAGTGGTTACATAATCCCTGCAATAAAAAGTCCCAATTTTCTGGTTTAAGCTATCCACAAATCCATAAGATTGATTTCATATTTCCTATGGAATCTCACATTTTAAGGTTCATTAAATAACATGTAAATTAAATCATTACATCATCAACCAAGAGTAAAGATTTGGATCTACATCAAAGGACGCATCTAGCCTCTTCCTGTATTCTGACCGATACACCATAATGATGGCTGCCTCACCTGGAAAGAGCTAGCTTTAACCAAACCCTCCTTTACACTTATGATACAACACAAACTCCAACAAATGATCTTTTATAGGGGAATGTTAAAAGGCTGGATGCTCCCAGTCCATTTTAGAAGTAACAAACTCTAAACCTGAACACTGAGGTGACACATTAGCTCTGCGTTAGCCTAACAGCTACGCGTTATGCTGTCTACATCCCTGCCTGCCATAAACTGTGACGTTAAGGTGCTGTTCTTATTCAAGAAAAATAATAATGATGTAGAGAAACTTGCTAATGTCATGGTTCTGCTGTCTTCTGCTGTGGTTTGTCCTTCATTGTTTGCAGGTGAGTGTGTTGGGGAGCTGCAGCTGAAGCCAATTAACTCCAGCTTGGCCAGAGGATTTAAGGAACAGCGCTCCCACACCTCAACGCCGGTTGATACTCAATTGTTGGGTAGATCCTGTCCAATCCTGTCCTAAATCAGAGATACCTGAAAATTAGTTTGTCTGTTCTAACCTGATCTGCGTTTTTGTCTGCCCCAGTCCTGGATACTCTCCGCCTGCCTGAGGTGTGTGTTTTTCATCTCGGCGTTGTTCGGTTCTCTGTCCTCCGCTCTCCACCGCTCACCTGCCTTCCTGGATCCAACCCTTCTCCTTCGACAACCTCCACCCTGCATCAGCCTGACTTGCCCCTCCAGCTCGTACCCTGCTCAACTCAGTAAGCCCTTCCTCTTATCTTATACTTTCCTGGTTCTCGGTTTCTGCCACTCACACCATTGTGTTTTTTCTTATAGTCGGAGTCGTCCCGTTTTCCTGTCCCTTTGGATCAGCGCTCTTATCTATTATTCTTTGGTTTCTTTGTTTTCCTTCATAATAAAGACATTTATATCATCGCTCACCTTATCTGTGTGTGATTCTCTCATGTGGGTTAAGAGACTTCAGCCCATCATGACAGCTAAAATTAAAAGCCATTGCTATTCTGTTTGAAAATCTGTATTTAAAAAGCCTGGTCTGTTGTCAGATAAAGTTAAATCCAATCTTTTCCACCCGATGTCGAATCCTATAAAAATCACATTATTGGATTGGAGCATCTCTACAAAATATCGCAATATTAACGTTTCAAAATTTTCTTGCATCTCTGTTAGGAATGTGTATTGGTGAAATTCTGGCGATCCAATAAGTATCACGATACAGGGGAGATGATACGATATATCACAATATATTGCGATACAATCAGCCAGACGATATTAGCGACAATAGCCATTGCGCACTGCTGTCAAGTAGCAGCCAGCGTTTGAATTGCACCAAAAGAAAAGAAAATCTTTGCATGTAAATTCATCCAAAAATTCGACACACAGCTTTTAAATATCGATACATTACTGCCGGAAAAAAAATCACAATATATTGACTTATCAATATTTTCTTACAACCTTATCTAATATTTAGTGATGCACCGATATACTTGTTGGGCCTATACCGATATTAAGATCACTGACATTTGCTTAAAATCTGCAGATTTTGTATAGAATGAAAATTGTTACAGCTGAATTTACATTATGTAGACACAACACACACATTTATGGTTCTGAGATGATTACAATCACTGTCACATGACTAAACAATTACACCCCCCCCCCCACCCCCACCCCCACCCCACCCCACCCCACCACCATCCCGTTCTGGCTCCAGATCTCCAAACAAGCTTTTCCAGAGCAAAAGCCTAGCTAAAACATCCTGTTAACCATAGAGTTTATAAAAAGTAGAAGCCGCAAATGCGGCCAAACATAGGCAGTAGCCGTTGGTGCGGCTTCTACCCTTCTATGTCTACGCTGTGTGCAGGAGTCAAAGCTCATTCAGAAAAGTTGAAAAGGGACTTAACTGAAAGATTATACATTTTTTTATGTGTTGCACTTATAATATTGCACTTTGAGTTTGTCAGCCTGCTTCCTATAAGATTATTTAATAATTTCCCATTTAAAAACTGTTCAATAATGTAGGGTAAAAAAGACTATATATATATATATATATATATATATATATATATATATATATAGATAGATAGATAGATAGATAGATAGATATAGATATATACGAGAAAGAACTATGAACTAGTTTGTTTTTGGAACAGTGAACTTAGTTCAATTTTTTTTCATTAGGAACTAAGAAACAAACTAGTTTGTTTTTTAAACAAACTTTCCCAACACTGC